TGTGTATATCTTCTAATTGGACCTTCTATATATCTGCACCTTTGATGTACATATGATTATTTCGAACATGATCATGCTTTGTGCATGCTTCACAGGCTTCGTGAAATAAACATTATTATTATTATTATTATTAAATGGGCGGAGCTGAAATCAGAGTCCTTGGGTGTACAGTGCATGATAATAACAAAGACATGGCTAAAGCCAGAAGAGGGTATCAGCACGTACATTTTGGAGGACTACTGTTTCTAAAGAACTGACAGAGGGGATGGGAAAATCGGAGGGGGAGTCCTGCTACTAATGGCAAAATACTTCGAGCAGCGGGTTGGAATCACACCAAACTCTCCCGATATGTAAGCTGTCTCGTGCAAGGTCAAAAGTGGGAGGGGGTGGGTCAACTTCGTTTGCGTTTACAGGAGCCCATCAACGAGCGTGGAGGAAGATGCTGCCCTGCTAGATCTACTGGAAACCGTAGGGAAAACACCAAATAACAGTAATAATGGGGTGCTTTAATGCACCAGAATTAAACTGGAAGGACGAATGGGCTCCTCTAACATCCTTCGGAGGTCGCCTGATTGTTTTTCTACGGGAGCGAGACATAATTCAGCAGGTACTGCAGTCCACGAGATGGAGGGTCGGATGCACAGCAGAACTGCTTGACTTCGTCATAACTAAGTGCCCAAACGATGTAAGAAACCTGGTACTAAGAGCTACAGTCGGTAACAGCGATCACGTAGTAATACGCCTCGGTGTACCATCTTCTCCAGACAACTCACCGGATAAGACACGACGGTTCTTAAAAAGAATGAATATTCAAGGGTTGCTGGACACGGCCACCACATTTAGCTGGGGAGAAAGCATAAACACAGTTGGAGAACTGTGGGGAGTTATAAGGGGCAACCTTACTGAACTTACGCAAGTCTTTGCTCCATTGCAGAAAATCCGAAAGCAAGGAAGATCCCCGTGGTGAACGAGTGAAGTGGGCAAGGCCCAACGACGGAAACATTTTTTTGTATTTGACAGCGAACAGACAAACAGTCAATGCAGTTTTCAGAGTAGTTAAATATAACTTCTGACTTGCCACACCAGGAAACATTGATGTAAGTAGCCACACCGCCTCCGGTTTTTTTCCTACTTCGCTGTCTATCCTGCCGGTAGCAATCAAACCCCTCTATTCGCACGAGAACGTCTTCAATGTTTGGGTTTAGCCATGTTTCTTGCACACAGACAACACATGTGTTGGAATTAATGCGTGTGTTCAGAATAGAGGTTAAATCCGAGATCTTTGCGAATAGTGGGCGAACGTTGGTGCTGACCAATGGTGGCACAGTCATCTAGGCAGGAGGTGTGCGAGTAAGTGCGGTCTGCCATCCGGCCCGTCGGCGTTTTTTGATCACAGGGCTTTTATGACTCTCACCAAGCAAATAATCAGTGGGTAGCACAGAATACACAGTTTTTAGTCGTAGCATGTCCTGANTTCAAGGGCACGTTTCAGAGGAACAGGAGGCCATATAATGCTTCTACAATACAGAAGGGTTGCCGAAGCTGCGCTGAGGGTTCAGCGAGCATGTCAGTTGAGGTATGAAAATTGTCTCGCTTTTAAGGCCAAGACATGCTCGAAGGAATACTACGACTACGTCCAGTCTAAGGTTGCTCTGAGGTGGCAGTAGGCTAAGTGAGAGACGGAGAAGGGCAGCATGTTGGGAGTGACACAGAGAAAGCTGCTATCCTAAAAAAGTTCTTTGACAAAGTGCATCACGCGGATGGAGGATTTACACCATTCCTCCAAACTACCCGGGTCCCGGTGATGGCAGAGCCACTCTTTCACCCGGAGGAAATAGAGCTCGAAGTTGAGGAGATTACGAGGGCCCAAGTCTGCAGGGTCGGACGGCATCCACCCGGCGATTATAAAGCCGCTTGCGATCGTCTTGAGTGACCCGCTTCCTAGACTATTCAGTCTATCACTTGAGAGCACAACTGCGCCGGAAGACCGGAAAGTTGCTGAAGTAGTCCCTGTACACAAAGGGAGCTGCACGGAGGAACCAACAAACTATAGAACGGTCAGCCTTACACCGGTCTCACTGAAGGAATATTGAGGGATAGCATGGTGCAGCACGTAGTAACTCGCGATTTGCTATCGGGCAAACAATATGGCTTTGCTAAGGGGAAGTCGTGTTT